AAAAAAAAAAAAAAAAAAAAAAAATTCTGTTGTATGCGCATTAGTGTGTTTTGGGAGGAGGCATGAACAGATTTCATGAGTCTCAAACCCAAAAATATTAAAAAATAAAAATAAAGACAACAAAAACCACTAGCCTTTCGGATAAACTCTCTTCAGCTGATATTCAAAGGCTGACATCCTTTTCTAATCCTCTTCTCCACTGGCCACAGGAGTCTGGTCTCGGTTTCCCCACCTACCTGCGGTGTCCTGCTCCAGCTTTCCACCCTAAGCCCGCATCTGCCAGCACCACCTAATCCAGGCAGCCTTCCGCGCCCGGGGGAACTCCTGTGGTCTTCAGACCGTCTTGGCGTATGGTTTTGTGCACGGTCCGCAGCGAGCCGAGACCCTTCCCGCCAGATCCAGGCCGGGCCTTGGGTGGCCATTCGCCAACCAATCAGCGACCAGCATTCTAGAGCGCGTCTTGCAACCGACCAAACGCGCGCTGGCTTCGATAAACAACCACAGCTCCACCCACCCTGAAGAAAGGCGGGCGGCAGCTCGCTCCCCAGCCACACTTGAGCTCCGGTCTGTGGTGTGCAGTAACCAAAACACCAGCGTCTTCAAAATAAGAAAACTGATTCCCAGAGAGTAAACTCCACTCACATTAAAGTCTGGCAAATCGTAGGCAACAAGTATTTGCTGAATGTTTTGCTTTCAAGCTAGCACTTCGACACTCACTACTCTGGACGGCACTACCGCCCCCCACAAAACGACACGACGCTGGCTAACGTCTTCCCGCCCGCCAGGCAGTGTTAGGCCCGTGCGGGTGGGAATCACTCTTATCCCCACTAGTCTGACGAGAAAGCCGGGACCCGGGCGACTGGCCACTCGGGCGAGCTCCACAGTGGAGCACGAACAGCGCCGGGAGGCGCAAACCGCGGCAGGCGAGGAAGCAGTTCAAGCTGGTCTCCGGCCCCGCGTTCTGAGGGTCGGCAGTACTTACCCCTCAGGCCCGTGACGCCGCGACCGGCGACGCCTCCCCCGCGGAGCCATGATGCCGCGCTCCGCTCCCGAGCGACTGGAAGCTCCCGCCAAGCCCCTCGCCGCTCCGAGCAGCCAATCCGGGCCGAGCACGCGCGCGTGCGCAGAACTTCCTGAGCGGGCCCCGGGCTCCTCCCCGCCTTGGAGCGTGAGTGAAAACTGGGCCTGGCTATCACACCGCAACGGAACTGAAGTCCGTGCCGCACAACCAGTTGCCTACGGTCCATGTCATGCCAAAGTTTTCCGGGCTTTCCTCCCACCCGCATCGCCAGTTTTCCAGAGCCCGAAAGCCCCGGAGCCACGTGGGACCGCCCCCTGTGGGTGGGGAAAGGGGAGGAGCTAGTGTCCTTGAGCCTGTGGGCAGGTAAGTGGGTGGGCGCAGACCAGCGTTCGCATCTGTTGCCGCTGAGGCCGCCGTCGTCTTGTCAGACCCACAGGATTTGGCTTGCAGCCCCTGCTGCCTTTATCAGCTGTCTGAGCTTAGCATGTTACTTTACCTCTATCCCAGCACCTTCATTTGTAAATGGTCAGGGTTCCTTTTGTTCTTTTATTTTGTTTCTGTTTAAAAATGTGTAATGCAGAAGAATGAAATTGAACCCTTACCTTACACCGCGTATAAAAATTAACGCAAAATGGACCAAACACCTATATATAAAGGCTAAAATTAAAATTAAAACTCTTAGAAGAAACAGAGCAAAAGCTTCATAACATTGGACTTGGTGGTGTGATTTCTTGGGTATGATACCAACAGCAGTTTGGGATGATGAAGACGTTTTGGAAATAGTGGTGGATGGATGCACAAGATGAACGTACGTGATACCACAGAACTGTAAACTTACAAACGGTTAAAATGCTAAATTGTGTTGTGTATATTTTACTATGATAAAAAATTACGTTTCATGCATATAAAAGAATATAACGTGTGTAATGTAAGGATAAAAACAAACATCCGTGTAACCAGCACTGGATGGGGATATGAATCATTATTATACATAACTCTTGGGTACCCCTCTGAATGGCACCCTCCTCCTCCAGAGAATAACCACTCTTCTGATTTTATGTGTATCATTCCTGTGGTTTTCTCCCTTGATATAGCCCCAAATAATGTATTGATTATTGCATGTTTCTAAACTTTATATGATATTTGGTAGGTATTCTGCAAATGTCCTTTCTTACTAAAGCTATTGCTTTTATTTTTTATTTTATTTTTCCATAAATTATTGGGGTGCAGGTGCTATTTGGTTACATAAGTAAGTTCTTTTTTTTTTTTTGAGACGGAGCCTCGCTCCGTCTCCCAGGCTGGAGTGCAGTGGCCCAATCTTGGCTCACTGCAAGCTCCACCTCCCGGGTTCATGCCATTCTCCTGCCTCAGCCTCCCGAGTAGCTGGGACTACAGGCGCCCGCCACCACGCCCAGCTATTTTTTTGTGTGTGTATTTTTAGTAGAGACGGGGTTTCACCGTGTTAGACAGGATGGTCTTGATCTCCTGACCTTGGGATCCACCTGCCTCAGCCTCCCAAAGTGCTGGGATTACAGACATGAGCCACTGTGCCCGGCCGAGTAAGTTCTTTAGTGGTGATTTGTAAGATCCTGGTGCATCCATCACCCCACTGCACCATATATGTTGTGTTTTATCCCTTGGCCCCATCTCACTCTTCCCCCTAAGTCCTCAAAGTCCATTGTATCATTCTTAATGCCTTTGCGTCCTCATATAAGTCTGTTACTGGTAGATGTATCCGCTTGCATCTAAATCTGCATGTAGCTGCAGTTCATTTACGTTCAGTCTTTGGAATGCATAAGTAAATACTCCAGATTTTATTTATCTGTTCTCTTGTGTGTAGGTGTGTCAGTTGTTTGCAGTACTTTGCTGTTACCAACAATACAGCACTGAGCACTCTTATAGGAAGTTTGCAGGGGACATGTCTAAGAGCTTCTCTAGGGATAGATTCAGTAGGGATATTACTGCTATGTAGGATACAGAGTTCAGCTTTCCATGATAATACCAGTGTTTACACGTTGTAGATCGTACAGTTTACACCCCCCCACACTGGCTCCAAATACTATCAATATTCAGCATTTTAAAGACTTTTACATTGTTTATCCAGTGAGTTAAAATGGGTTTCCATATGGGCATCCTGTTGGGTTTTGGTTTGCATTTCCTGTAAGTTGATCATCTTTTTTACTGCTTATAGGCCATTCCTATTTCCTCTTCAGTGAAATGCTTGTTTACCTGGAAATCATGTGGGCAACTGCCATAGAAGGGAATCACCTGTAAGGTATTAAAGGTAGTTCCCTGTGGGTGGGTAGACATAAGTTCCTGGAGCCACTAAAAGTAGTTTCCCTCAAGAGAGTGAGTGAGAAGCTCCGTTTTCTAGGAAAGGGGGTGTAGTCAAACCTTTTGTGCTTGCGGGTCTGAAAAAAGAAACTACCCAGTCAAAACAAGAAGGGGTTCAGCACTCTGGGTGGAAATAACAAACGCTCAACCCAAATACATGTAAATAATGAAAGAAAATCAGGAGCATGCATCACTGAAATGTCCAGGGTTAGAATGAGTGTGCAGCGGAGTGGGATGGAGAGGTTTGAGAAGCTGGCAGGGCCCTGAGTCACTGAAACGTCCAGAGGTAGAATGAGTGTCCAGCTGAGTGGGATGGAGAGGTTTGAGAAACCGGCAGGGCTCTGAGTCCTTTTGCTTTGCCCGCCTCGTACGTCAACTTTTCCAGGGGCCAGGTCTTCTGTTTTCCCTCTTCCTTCTGGATTTACCGAGCACTTATGATGCAGGCGTTGTCCTGAGTGATTAGTATCTGTTGACTCATGTGATCCTCTCAATTACCCTATGCAGTAGGCACTGTAATCCCACGTCTCAGCGGAGGATCCCAGGGAGCTGTCCCACTGACAGCAAGTGGTGCTGCCTGCGTGAGCTCCTGGGAGCCTGGTCCAGAGCTTGAAACCCGGCAGCCATTCCATGTCTGTCTGAATTCCACCATTCAGAGAAAGAGACTCCATATCTCCCAGCCTTCCCAGAAAAAGGGCTGCCGCGCCTACCTGTATTAGGGCTCTCCAGAGAAGCAGAACCAATGTACATACGGGGACAGCAGGGAGAGATTTTAAGAACTGCCTCATGCGAATGTGGAAGCTGGCAAGTCTGCAATCTCTGGGAACAGGCGCACAGGCTAGAAATTCAGGTAAGAGTTGATGTTGCCATCATGAGTCCAAAATCCACAAAGCAGGCCAAACAGCCTGGAAACTCAGGCAGAGGGTCTGTGCTGCAGGATTGAGGAGAACTCCTCCTTCAGGAAACCTCAGTCTTAAGGCCTTCAACAGATTGCATGAGGCCCACCCACATTATGGAGGGTAATGTGCTTCAGTAAAAGCCTGATTGAAATAGTAATCACGCCTCAAAAACGCCTTCATGGCAATACCTAGACTGGTGTTTGACCAAACAACTCGGCACCATAGCATAGCCAAGTTGACACCTAACATTAACCATCACACTGCCCCGAACCAATCCCCGTGGCCGGGGAAATGGAATACACTCATTTGCTTCCTGGCACCACCTGGATTCCCGCTGGAACTGGAGTGGCGGGGAGCCGGCTATAAATTGGGAAAGGGGGAAATGCATGCTGCGGAGACAGATACATCCACGACAGAAACTTGCGCAGGGTTGTAGAGCTGTTCATAGGGAAGCTGGATTCCAACCCACTCCTGCCTTTGTTTCATGCTGCTTCCGCAGTTAGACTGTCCGCTTAGGGCAATGATTCTCGGCTTGGGTGAGGGGAGGGCAGAGGGAAAGGGGTCTACTAGGATGCCTGGGGCGGGGTAACCTGATAAAGCCAGTGGATGCTATCACAGGAAGGAGACTCCCGGGGTGCTCTGAGCAGAGGTTGTGTGAGAGCCCTACCTACGATTCTGACCCAGAAGAGCCATCTCGGAGTTTCTGTAGTGATTTGTGGTGTTGAGGATGGAAACCACAGCATCTCTGCGAGTTTCTAGATATGGAAGGCCAGGTGGGGAGCCTGGTTTGGAGTGGCAGGAAGAGAACACAAAGGCTCATCATAAGCCCTCGATATAAATGTGGGGGCTGGAGGCTGGTCATAGCGGAGAAGGGTGTATAGAGGGGAGAGGAGGTGCCCACCAGATTCCAACCAATCAGAAAAGAAACTCCCCGCAAGGAGAAAGACGGGTTACTTTTTAGGGAAGCCATGGCCAATCTTTTCCATTTTAAGATGGTGCCTGTGTTGTGCTGGTCTCTTGCCACCAGTTAATCGTTAGTAAAGTTTGCTAAACTCCACAGCCTTCTGTGTCTAAGGGGCCGTGAGGAAGGAAGGATCCTTAGCAAGGTAGTCGAGCAGACGTGAGCAGGGCAGGAGAGGGCCTCTACAACCAGGAAGGCATCTGAAGCTGGTGATTAGCCGCTTCCCGGTAAGAGCCAAGGATTTGGGTGAGTGAGCTCAAGCAAACGCGGTAAGAGGCAAAATGATGGCGTTTAACTGGTAGATGGGAGAACGCCTCAACTGCGCATGTGCACAGCCTCGGTAAACACGCTGCGTTTGTGGCCGCTCCCAAGTGCTGGCAGGCCACTGAGCATCAGGACAGCCCTCCCCAAGGGAAGAATCTGGGGACAGGTAACATGCCCCCTCCCTCAAAGCATGCTAACGTATAAGACCCCAAGTCAAAGGCCACACAGCACTTGACTCTCTCCTGTCCCCGCTTGGCCCTCTTCCAAGTGTACTTCCTTTTGTTCCTGCTCTAAAACTTTTAAATAAACTTCCACTGGGCTCCAAAAGTTGGCTCTGTCTCTCACTCTGCCTTGTGCCCCTTGGTCAAATTCTTTTCTCGGAGGAAGCGAGAACTGAAGTTGCTGCAGACCTGTGTGGATGCACTGCCATTAACGAGATAGTGTCCAGGGTGGGGTGAAGCATGCTTATTGGAAGGGATGGGCTGAAAACGCAGGAGTGGAGGCAGCGGGGTCAGGAGTCCTAGAGGTGATCTGGAGCAATGTGAGCAACTGCAAGGAACTTCAGGGACACCAGGGGACCAGAGGCTTCAGGACACTGGAGGACATAGGTAGCAGGTCCTTAAGTTATATGCTTTCATATTTGGGAAATGGAAAAAAAAAAAAAACTATTGCTTTTATTATACAAACTATAGAAAATAATGACAAGTTTTGGGAGGCTTGGGATAAACTGAGTGCTTGGGCCTGGACACGTCCATGTGGAAATACATGTTCCCTGTGATGGAGGTTGATGTACATATGAGTTCCATATTTTGGAATTGTTAGTTTGATTTTGATTGATTGATTGGATTGAGACAAGGGTCTCACTCTGTTGTCCAAGCTGGAGTGCTGTGGTGACTTCATAGCTCACTACAGTCTCAAATTCCTGGGCTCAAGTGATCCTCCTGCCTCAGCCTCCCGAGTTGCGGGGATTACAGGCACATGCCACCACACCTGGCTAATTTTTGTGTTTTTCGTAGAGACAGGGTTTCGCCATGTTGCCCAGGCTGGTCTCAAACTCCTGGGCTCAAGAGATCCACCCACCTTGGCCTCCCAAAGTGCTGGGATGACAGGTGTCCACCACCGTGCCTGGCCTCATTAGTTTGATTTTAAGTGAGATTATTATTTTCTATCTTACAGGGTACTCATGAGGATAAGAGAAGAATGTAGAGGCCCCTGGATACACAGAAGGATGCCATTTCTTATTGGACTCAGCTTTTCTCCAGGGAGCTCTTCTGTTGAATTTTCTTTTCAGCACTGGGTCCACCAGGGGGCAGATGAAGAAAGGGCCTGGAGATTTGACAATGTCATTGGAGCACAGAGCTCCTCTCTTTCAGACGTGGTAAATACTGCTTCAAAGTCAGTTCAAGAAGATGAATAAGACTAGACATTTTAGCTGCCCTTGCTTAACCCTTTTCCCCTTTCACATAAATGATATTCTTCCACAATTTATTCGATCCATTCCTGTCCATTTCCCATAAGGCAAAGTATGATTTTCTATGATGGAGAGGAAAAGAACTGATGTCTCAAATTTTCCCACTTTCTTATATAACTTCCTACAGCACTTACTAATTATTGGGTACACAGGAACATCTCACTCAACTTGGCAGTTTAATGAAGTTGTTACCTGTTTTAAGCAGACCCATTGTTCAACCTCTGTAACTATGACACTGCAAAACAGACTTAACACATCCCAGGAGGGCAGAGATGGGGGAGCAGAGGAAAATACTTTCTCTTGGATGTTCTCTTTAAGAAAAAGAGGAAATAAAATCCAGAAAGGAAGTACTCCTCGCCTTTTACAGTTAGAGGGCAGAAAGATTTTTTGTAGCAAACAATGACGTTAGATCTCTTCCTGTGTCACATGCTTTTCAACATTTCCTGGGTGCTGTTACCCGACTGCTGAACTTATTTGCTGTGTAACTAATGTTGTTTTACTTTTTCCAGAACTAACTGGCACTGCTCCTACCCAAGCTGCGATCACACGGCTAAATAGGTCTGGCCAGTACATCATGACCATGCAATGTCTCATGCTTCAGATTCCATTCTCAGCTCCCCAAAGGGCCAGGAGAGTCTGGTGCTGGGACCCTGGCAGGAGCATGCTAGTAAAATTCAGGATTTCTTTAGCCAAGGAATGGCAGACTTCCAACCTGCATAAGCAATAACTGTACAACTGAAACGGATGTAAAAAACCTGAGAAAGAGAAAATGGAAGGACATCCCAGAGAAAAAGTGTTTTTGTTTTTAAGGACATAAGGACAGAAAAATAAGAAAGAAAACGTCTACAGTAGAGTCTTATGTCTATAACTCTCCCTCAAGCTGTGGTTGGAAAAGAACTTTCTGAAAAAGGTTTTCACCTCTGTAATGAACATGCTCACTCTGACAGCACTTTTGGTTGACCTGAGAGTACACACAGCTGTGAGGCTGATCTTGTTCGGCCAGTATCCTGACCTCAGCCGCCCTTACTGCTCAGGCAGGAATGGACTCAGCAGATGGTACCTGGCAGACATGCCTCCCAGGTGATGCAGGAACCTTCTTCATAGAACCTGCTCTAGAACGAAACGTCTGGCTGCTCCCCGCACCTCATAGGCCAGCTGTCTCACCCCTTGTCATTGAGCATAAAGATCATTATCACCCAGGCCACAAACATGCCGTTTGTTTCCTGGGCTTAGAGAATCAGGGAAGGCTTCTAAGGGAAGTGCCATCTCCAATCCTGTAGGAGCAGCCAGGCCAGGGTGAGAGTGCTCTGGGGAGGGAGGCCAGCCCGTTTGCGGTGAGCAAAAGTAGGATGCACTTTGGGAACTGGAATAACTGAAGCATGACTGGAACAGAGTTAGGCAAGTGGCAAGAAATTAGACCAGGGAGGCAAGCAGGTGCCCTCCAGTTCCCCACTCCTCAAAGTGTAGCACGAAGACCGGCAGCACTGGTGTTCCCGGGAAGCTTGTTAGAAATGCTAAATTGCAGATTTATTGAATCAGAATCTTCATGTTAAGATCCCCAGGTGGCTGGGCAAGGTGGTTCATGCCTGTAATCCTAGTACTTTAGGAGGCTGAAGCTAGAGTCTCGCTTGAGCTCAGGGGTTTGAGACTAGCCTGGGCAACACGGTGAGACCTTGTTTCTACAAAAACAAATCAACAAATTAGCCTGGTTTGGTGGTGTACGCCTGTGGTCCCAGCTAACTTGGGAGGCTGAGGCAGGAGAATCCTTGAGCCTGGGAGGTCAAGGCTGTAGTGAGCTGTGATCATACCACATACTGCAGCCTGGGCAACAGAGCAAGACCCTGTCTGAAAAAAAAAAAATTCTCAGATGACTGGATGCACAATCAATCTCAAGAAGCCCCTTTCTCTCTCCATGAAGCAGTTCAGACTGGAGAATAGCAAGCCTCTGGACAATGAAGCAGGAGAATCACATGGTAAGACTTGTGATTTAGAAAAATCTTTCTTGCTGCAGAATGGGTAAGGTAGCAGGGACCCATATAGGCAGCAAGGGGGCCAACTAACAGGCTGGTGCAATGGTCCTGGCAAGATGTGGCCTCTGCCCTCAGGCGTGGGAATGGGGCATGGAGAGAGGTGGCCAGATTTGGTAGCCGATATGAGACGGCAGCAGCAGGAACTGGTGACTGAGGCTGCCTGGAGCACCCCTGGAACTTCTCCCAAATGCGCAGCCCACTGACAGCTGGGCCCGGGTGGGGTCCAGGCGCTGGCAGCAGCACAGCAGGGTGGGGAATGCAGTATCAGTGGGTGTGGGACTCCAAAACCAGAGTCCTTCTGTGTCTGCACACGTCGCCTGGTGCAGAATGTGAGCAAACTGGTTTTCACATATGCTCAGTGTGTGTTCCATTCAATGCATGGTGCTTCGCTGTCCCTGCAGCTGGGCTCTGGGGTTGGCACTTCTGCTGCTCATTCTCCAATTTGAACAAGCCACATGCAAAGCAGGAAGTCTGCCTGGAGTTCTTGGGGAGAAATACTGCAGCGTTAGTTAGTATTGAGCAAGGACGATTTCGGCCAGAGACATTTGATAGTCAAACAAATTTGACGGTCAAACCCACTCCCCTTGCCCGATAAAAGTCTCAATAAGAAAGAGTGACTAAGAACTTACATGCAAAATATGTTGATGAAAAAGAAATCCTGTTTTAGGCCAAGAACAGAATCCCTCTGCACCTGAAGAACACTGCTTAGAAGCAAAATTCCTTTAGCAAGACTTGTACCTTTGGAGCAAGTCAACCATGCAAAAGAGTTGATTGAGTCCAAAGGAAAACTCTAGATCGGTGTTCATGCCAAACACATGAATAATAAGATGGGAAAATTTCCCTAATCACTCTGGCTGAGCAAAGAAGTGAGTTTAATCTGAACCAACACATACCGAGGCGTCTACTGTAGCAGGGTACAGTGGTGAAGAGTCAGCCAGGGTAGGGCACTGGGTGGGGGGTCCCTTTGGCAGGCTCCAGACTAAGCTGGAGTGGAGGTTTCTCAGCACTGGGCACCAACACTGCTCTGCTGACAAGAGTTGGAAGGACTGTCTCTGTGCTGGGAGCCTAAGGAGAGTTCCCTCCAGTCAGATTCAGGGCTGCAACCATTTTCATAATAAAAGAAGAGGGGGCTGGAGGCTGAGGAAGGGGAGGGATGCTGTGGGCCTGACCAGTCTAACTGACCCGTGGCCCTTGCCTGTTCTGGTCCTACTGGGACCTTCTGCTCTTTCTCCACCTGCTGTGCACCGATGGGGGTCAGTGGCAGGTTTCTCTTCTGCCTAGGCTGCTGTGAAAGGAAACAGCAACTGGAAATATGAAAACATAAAAAGGAAATTCCAGAGTCCCTGGCATTTATCTTCCTTCCCCTTATGGCATGACTAACACAGAACCGCAAACAGGTACAATTACAATGGAAAGTTTAGCTGCACCCAAGGATTGGCTACTTAGGAGAACTTACTCAACAGTGATTGGGCACTCAGGGTGCTCAAGGCATTGGGCTTCGCATCAGAGGGGAAGGAACAGCAAAAAGGTGATCCAGACGCTCAGAGGCCTTGGAGTCAGCAAATCCAGCTCAGCCACTTAATAGGCATCTGAACTTGGACAAAATAGCTGATCCCTCCAAGTCGTTTCTCATCCATAACAAGGAGGTAATACTTAACTGAAAAAACAAAAACAAAAAAACAAACAAACAAAACCATAGAAGTACCAGCCAGGTGCGGTGGCCCACGCCTGTAATCCCAGCACTTCAGGAGGCTGAGGCAGGTGGATCACGAGGTCAGGAGTACGAGACCAACCTGGTCAATATGGTGAAACCCATCTCTACTAAAAATACAAAAATTAGCCGGGCGTGGTGGCAGGCGCCTGTAGTCCCAGCTACTTGGCAGGCTGAGGAAGGAGAATCGCTTGAACCCAGGAGGTGGAGGTTGCAGTGAGCCGAGATCGGGCCACTGCACTCCAGCCTGGGTGACAAAGCGAGACTCTGTCTCAAGAAAAAAAACAAAACAAAAACAAAAAACAAAAACCCAGAAGTATTCAGATAGCTCCCTAATCTTTCCACCCCAATCACCATGGGTCTACCCGACATCTACCCGACACATTGCCAAGTCGTCTCCTGTTGTAATGGAAGAGTCCTATCAAAGGCCAGTCTCGCCACTAACCTTCAGCTCTATCTAACCCTCCCCACCTCTTGAGCTAGCCCTTTCCTAAATCATTCTCTTTCTCTGCTGGATCACTCTCACCAGCATGTCATTCTACTCCAGTATCTCCCATCTTAGAAACCACCACTACCTGCGAGCAAAAGCGAACCTCTCAACCCCACCTCTCTCAGCAGTTATCGTCCATTCATCTCCACTTTCTTCACAGCAAAACAGAGCTATTTACCCCTTATCCTGACCTCCTGGGAGTTCATTCCTCAATGTGCTCCAGCAGGCTCTGTCCTCCCTATTCTGCTGGAGCAGTTACTGCCAGGGTCACCACCACTGCTGAATGTAGTGGACTATCCCCACATTATTCTACCTTAAAAAAAAAAAAAAATTGTACAGACGGAGGTCTTGCTACAGTTGCCCAGACTGGCCTCGAACTCCTGGCCTCAAGCAATCTTCCAGCCTCAGCCTCTCAGTGTTGGGATTACAGGCATGAGTCACCGTGCCTGGCAACATGTTTTGCTTTTAACAGCATATGCCTTAACCAGTGCCTCTTATGCCTTTCCCACAATGCCTTTCTGCCTTGGCTGCAGGGACCCCATACTCTTGGTTTTTGGTCATTCCTGCAAGGCAGGTAATTCTCAATCACCCTTGCCGGCTCCTTCTTTAACCCTCTCGTCAGAGGGCCCCAGGACTCTGTTTTGGGTCCTCTACTGCACTTCCTATCTACACATCTTCCCCAGGTTACCTGATAAGGTCCCACAGCTCTAAATCCCTTCTCTGGCTGATGGCTTTCTGAACCGTTCTCTCCAGCTGGAGCTGTCTCCTGAGCCTGAGCCGCAGACTCGTGTGTATCTTCACGTGGTGGTCTGACAGGAACCTCAAGTGAAAACTTCCAGTGCAAGCTCTTGATCCCCTCCTCCTAAACACATGCCTTGGCATCTTCCCCATCTCAGTAAGCACAGCGCCATCTACCCCAGTATGCTCATACCCCCAGCCCTCTCTGCTCCTGGCTCCTCCCACGCAGTGGTTCTACCTCCAAACTGCTTTCAAAGAAATTCCTTCTCCAGCCACTGCCACCCACTTGGCTCAAGCTGCCCTCGCACACTATACTGTCTCCACCTGTCTCTGTGCCTCTCCTCTTATCCCTCGGCAGCTGTTCCCAAAAGGGGAATTCAAGGAATGTCACTCCTTGCCCCAAACCCTTTCCTCCTAAACCAGTGGAAAACTGAGATTCCCTGCGGGGCGGCAGGGCCTGGTAACCCAGCCCCGCATCATCAACTTCTTTCCAGTCCACTCTTTGCCTTGCTCATGATGCTTTAGACACGTCGGCTTCCTTTCAGTTCCTTGAATAGATCGAGCTCTTTCCCACCCCAGGGCCTCGCACCCACTGCTTCTTCTGTTGGAAAACGTTTCCTCCAGAGCTTTGTAAGGCTTTCTGTTCATTCTTTGGCTTATCCCCCTAAATGTCACTTCCTCAAAGGGACCTTTTTCTGACCACAACACTTAAAAATGGGCACCGTTAATACAACTGCTTTCCTCAAAGCACGCATCACAGTCGGCATTATTCGTTTGTTCTCTTGTCAATTGCCGCCTCCTCTCTCTCCATGAGGAAGTAAACCTCCCAAGGGTAAGGATCTCGTCTGCCACACTCGCTGCTGCACCTCCACAGCGTACAGTAGTGCCTGGCACTTAGCTGATAATAAATACATCGTTATGGACTGACCACCCATCTAACAGGGGTTTTGTGAGAATTAAATGAGAGCATACGTGAAGAACACAGCATGGCATACTGCCCATTAGCAAATCCACAATGCCTATGGCCATTATGATCTCCATGGTTGGTGATTCGTGGAAGTTCTGGGGAATCATGTGAACCTGCATATCTGTGACCCATGCATATTTTTTTCCTAATACAGGGTATCTGTTTTGTTGTTTTGAGATAGGTTATTGTTCTGCCGCCCAGGCTGGAGTGCAGTAGCGGATCACAGCTCACCATTCTCTTGACCTGGGCTCAAGGAATCCACCCACCTCAGCCTCCCAAGTAGCTGGGACTACAGGTGAACGCCACCATGCCTGGCTAATTGTTTCATTTTCTGTAGAGACGAGGTCTCACTGTATTGCCCTGCCTGGTCTCAAATTCCTGAGTGCAAGCAATCCTCCTGCCTCAGCCTTCCAAAGTGCTGGGATTACAGGCGTGTGCCACCACACCTGGTGAGTGGTGTTTCTATCAAGCTTTTGTTCTTGATGGATTTGGGGTTTCATTTTTGCTAAGTTATAAAACCAGAATAAAACTCTGGGAAGTGGCATTCGCCTCTACTGGGGCAAAGAAAAGCCATTAGATGGGAATCAAAACCATTTGTACTGAAGCTTGGAGGCAGAACTATTGGCACCAAGC